CAATGACGTGCAGGAAAATTTATGTGGAGTCTGATATGTTTGAAATTTGTAGTCCAAAGTATTCTTTTTGTAAATCATATATGCTAGGTTGCTTCTGAACACACCGATGGATTTTGTTTTCATGATTTCTATTCTCTGTTACATATTAGGTGTTTCTTAGAATGTTGGTTTTTCTGTCTAGCATGTGTAAATTCTGGTTGAATAAACACAGTGATGTATTTGGTTGATGTTGTTAATTAATGTCGTGTTAGGATTATGTTCTGGGGAACAAAATATAGAAGAAAATAATATTAAAATCATATTATTTATTATAGAGAGTACCAAGTGTTATGGATAAAACAAGTTTTTATTCCAATAAATTAATAGTGTGTTGGCCCGCCATTGGCCTTAATGACTGCTTCAATACGTCAATACTTTAGCCCATTTTTGGTTGAAAGCTGGTGGTATTGTGCTCCACTCCTCCTTTAAAGCATTCAAAAGCTCCTCTAATGAAGAGAGCCGTATTGGTTTTGCCCTAATTCATTGTTCCAGTTCATCCCAAAGATGTTCTATCGGGTTTAGGTCATTGCTCTGTACTGGCCACTGCAATATTTCGATATTATTCACTTCAAATCACGTGTAGCGTGACTCGTTGCTCGACAGGATCGATTTCCATTGATCCATAGTCCAGGTTCGGTGTGCCTTGCCCCATGTCAATCGATGGTGTGCATTTGTTTTTTGTTATCAACTGCTTGTGGGTTGCACCTTCCGTGAAAATTCATGGCATGCAGCTCTATACGCCTCATAGAAACACTCGTAGGATTGCCTGTGGCTGCTCGCATCTCCAAACACATATTCTCTAGGGTCTGACAGCGAGATGAGGTAACCATCCTTCTCAAGGTGTGTTGGCTCCTGTCAATCAGTATTTTAGCCTACTTGGTCGTTTCTTGGGCTCATTTGTCACCTGTGGGCTTCCATTTCTTCAAAACGTCGCCAATTGTCGACCTGGGAATGTTTAATTGTTGCGCAATAGCACATACAGACCTTTCCCCCAAATGACATCCAACTATCCTCGCCCCCTTCTGAAACTCTGTTAGCTCTTTCCGTGTAGTTATCGTTCAGCGTGCAAGTTCGAAATGATTTCCGAGCGAACCGCTGGTCATCTTTATAGGTCAACCTATTTGCTTATTTCGTCGTCACGCCAATTTTCCTGCAATCAGAGGTTTGTCCCATGACCTTTGGTAGGAAAATGTAAATGAGGCCGTGGTTTATGTGGATTTTAATAATACTATTAGCATAAAAATTGTAGGTGGCGCCCAAGACAGGTACATTTTATTTTCAATCTACAAATAATATGCATTATTTTTAGTAACTATACAAAACATAATATTTGCTATATTGGGATACTTGTTGTCATTATTTTGTGGCATTTCGCGCTAAGCTACTAACCATTTTCCTGGTCATTTAATGTTTTTTTATGGATATGTTTATTTGACTACTTACCCATTATTCATTTTTGGGAAAATTAGTGTAATGGCCAACGAAAATATAAAGAAAATCATTGTTTTAACATAGGTGGCGCCCAAGACAGATATATATATATATATCGTTGTATTTATCCTAGGTTTAAACTTGTTTCTCTTGAGTGAAAGTAACTTAACCTATCATCATTCCCGTGCGATTTGAGCGCCACACGTGATACCCATGTGCTCTCTTCTAATCTCATTCGCTGACCAAAACAACCAGTTCCTATTGCCACGTTCACGAGCATCATCTGCACGTGTGATACACAAGACATGGATAGGGTTAAGGGCTATCTGCACTAGCCGACCATAAACACACGTGATACCCATGTGCTCTCTTCTAAGCTCATTCGCTGACCAAAACAACCAGTTCCTATTGCCACGTTCACGAGCATCATCTGCACGTGTGATACACAAGACATGGATAGGGTTAAGGGCTATCTGCACTAGCCGACCATAACTGTGAGTTAAAACAGCTAGTCATCGCCATCTACCGTCAACTCTCGGACTACTCTTTACCAATATTATAACGCCCCCATGGCTGAAAGAGCGAACGTGTTCGGTAACGGAATTCAAACTCAGGATATTGTGAATCGAGTGCCTTAACATCAGGCCACAAATATATGGATACATAATCAAATAATATTCTTTATTTTAGTTACTCTTTCAGTTTTTTATTTGTCTTTATGGATTCACATCTTTTTTTCTACGTGGGATTGAACTGGTATCTAAGTGCAAGCTGATAGATATGATTTTACAATGGTTAAAACATATTTTTGGTTTTTTGATATATATCCACAAACATACATTTTCTTATAGAAAATAAAGCTGCATGAAACCTTTGTGAATGATGTAAACAGATGTAAGGTTCTTTTACTTAATTTTTATCTCATATTTTTGTTATGTCTAACGGAGATCAAGAGCCAACATCATGGTTCTTTACCAGATCAACAGTTTCGACCAAATGCTTTACTTATAGTATTTTAAGGTACTATCGAAAGAGCCTCCCCCTCCCAATGACTCAGAGGTAAGCCTGAAGATTTAGAACGCTAAAAACCAAGCACAGTACAGATAGTCCATTATATAGCTTTGTGCTTAACAACAAAACAAACAAACAATGCTGCCGAAAATATTGTCAGTAAAAACAAAACAGCAAAAAACATATAATAGGAAAAAGTTGTGGGCGCGTGGAAAATATCATTACAGCTAAGCCTTTTAATCTTAACCTAAATCATTAAGATATCTAACTAAACTATCATTTTTAGTTATATTTATCAAAATATTATATAGAAATTGGAAAATAAAACAATTTATTATTGACAAATAAATTCCGTTATGTTTAACCTCTGAGAGGTCTACTTTAATTAACATTTCAAATACTGAATCCGTACTTTCAATATTTCATTTATTTCAAACAACAACTGTTTAAATTAATCATCTGTAATCACTTTCATTTAAGATTGTAAGATTTCCAGTTCGTCTATTATTTTCCATTTATAAAACAATACTAAGCGTCTGTGCTTTTCGAGTCAATTATTTGTCTCATTAATTTATATTCTTTCAATTTTTAATTTTTGGAGGTCAGGTTAACATTTTACTAATAAGGTAGAAACTAAATAACTCGTTAATTCAGAGTTTTCATGATGAACTAACAAAGCGCCACCTGAAGAGAAACTTGATGAACTAATCAACAAAAGTAGCACAGATAAAAATATCGAAATTTTCTGAAATATCATAATTTTTCTTTTAAATTAGTACTTCAAAACTTTCTCTCCAGATGTCACTCTGAACTAAGCAGTTTCAACTGCGTTAAGTTCATCTATTCAAGGCGTTGTTTCTCTGGGCGATTCAAAGCGCGGTTCGTGTCTAATTGGTTCAGACAATTTTCGTTTTCTCACTCTCAGAACGAAAATGCTAATAAGAATTAAAGAAAGCAGTGAAAGGCTTCCAAACACAGATACGAGTAAAATAACTGGAAGGTTTAGCCCGACAACGTTTTCTTCTGTTATCTCATTTGTTGTGACTATGGTGGTTGTCGTCGAAGCATCGGTATTTTCTGATGTTGTAGATTCGGTGGAAGTTATATCTATGAACTCGGTTGTTGTGGTCTCTGGTGGTGTAACTTCGAAGTACACTGGTACGATGTTGGAGGTAGGAGACTCGTTTTTTTCGTCATTGAGTGATTTCATGGATATAAACATTTCCTGATAATCGTAAGGAACAACCAGTATTTGAAAAACAGCCGACTGTTTCTGTCCACGTTCCTTCGGTTCTAGCTCTCCACCTACTAAATGGTCTTTTGTTAGATTATCCGCAGAGTGAAAATTGGTTCTTAAAGTTGACATGTTGAAACTTCTTCGAAAATTGTAATATGCAACTGGAAATATGGAGAAAAAATTCATAAAAATTCAAAACTGCGGCAGGTTTAAAATCATAAATAATATTCAACGTTAAACTGGCACACAATTAGAAACATTTTATTTAGGCCTATCTGTGGCCTTCAAAAAGTTGACGACTCTACATGTTTCAACGTCGAAAACCTCGTTGTTTTAACCTTATTTATGGATGGATTTTTTGAATATATACCTATTGTTTTGTTAGCAAACTACAAACGCTATTCTTAAGCTCGGAGAATTAATTGGGGAACTAGATTTGCAAACTATGTACAGCAATTTACAGGATTATCCGATATATTTCAAAAATTAATAAATTCAAAAATATTATAAATAGAACAGTCCAGTTTTATTTAACTTGACGAACAACGCATAATTTTTTTCCTTTCTCTTGTAGATCCGTTCTAACAAAAAGAAAGAAATGACAACACCCCAGGAAAAGTCGCAGTTTGTGGTTTGCTGAATCCTAACTAATTGTGCCAGTGCAACAAATTTAACGATGCATTTATAAAAAAGACCACCACCTACGAATAGCATAAAAGCTTGGTTTGAAAAATTCCTATCAACTTGATTCTGATCACCCCAGGGTGTCTTTCAGCTACTCTCTCTCCCCCCCCAAAAAAAATTGAGACTTGAAAGATAATAAGTCTAAATTCCTGCCACGAATTTTATTTTTGTTTGTTGTTTTAGCAACTGGGAGTGTGTTGCAACAAAAGGGAGCGCGGACGTCCAAGTGTATCTGATGGGAGCGCGGACGTCCAAGTGTACCTGATTAGAGCGCGGACGTTCAAGTGTAACAGTTGATCGTGTGCAAGAGGCGTTTCTTAGACGTCCAAAGACGTCTGTTCGTCGTGTTCCCCCTGAAACCAAAAAGTACAGTGAACAAATTTTTACACAAACGACTTCATTTGCATGCCAAAAAAATGCAGTTACTGCAGACCCTCGAACCGGATGATGGACAAAGGCGCAAGGATTTTGCAATGGAAATCCTCAATCAGATAGTTCAGGACAATGAATAACTGGCAAAATTCCCCGTTTCCGGTCATGTCAGTCGGCATTATGTATATTTGGGGGGGGGGTAACAAAGCCCGCACGTGATGTACAACACAAACGTGACAGCCCAAAGATTAACGTGTGGTGTGATTTGATGCGCGATAGAATTACCGGGCCATTTCTCTTCGCTGAAAAACTTGGGGACAAATTACCTAGACATGCGCCAGCTGTTTGTTGTCCCTTAACTGGGGACTTTACCTCATGTTGTTTTTTCAACAAGAGGGTGCTCCACCACACTGGAGTCGTGACTTCCGGGAGTTTCTGAATAACACATTCCCAGACAGATGGACCAACATGATAGCCCCCACATTCCCAAACAGATGGACTGGTAGAGATGGACCAACATGATAGCCCCCACATTCCCAAACAGATGGACTGGTAGAGATGGACCAACATGATAGCCCCCACATTCCCAAACACATGGACTGGTAGAGATGGACCAACATGATAGCCCCCACATTCCCAGACAGATGGACTGGTAGAGATGGATCAACATGAATGATAGCCCCCACATTCCCCCTGACATAACCCCGTATTTTTTTTCTTGTGAAGAGTTGTGAAAGATCAGTTATATTCGATATCTGTGCATGATATCGTGGATCTTCACCCCAGAATAATCAATACAATAAGGGACGTGACCCCCCCTACATGCTGAACAAGACCTGGAGGGAGACAGAGTATCGCCTAGACATTATTTGGGCAACAAACAGTGTGCACGTGGAAGTATACTAAGACAAGAATAACACTTTATGAGTTGTTCGTCAAGTTAAATAAAACCAGAGTGTTCTATCTATAACATGTTTGAAGTTATTAATTTTTAAAGTGGATCAGAAGTGAAATAAGCTGCCACCATTTTAATGAAGTTCTGGTTAAGCAAATGTGAATTATTTAGATTACTTTTTTACTGCAATATTACCTAACTCATTCTCCACAAGATAGTAGGGATGGCACTTGTATCATCCGTACATAATAACACAATTACGCAGTGTAGTAGAATGTTAACAGACAAAAATAGGATAAATTAAACTCAATTCTGGTCGAATAGTTATATATATATATTGTTATACGTTAATTATTGCCTGTGCTATTATGTAGGGAGGGTGCAAATGTCATCCCAACTATCTTGTTTACATTGCTTTTAAAGGATTGATATTAGCCATCCTTACATTTACTTCCTTTTTTTGAAAAGTTTTTTTTACTTGTTTTTTTAGTGCTGTGTTTCAATAGACATAGGAAGGTTGTACTTATAACCAAATTCTAAATATAATGAGGTTCCAACTGTAATATTTATTGTTTATCTATTAATGGCTGGTAAATCATGTTTCACCCTGTACTTAAGTTTTTTTAAAGAAACACCAGGTGTTTGTAAGAAAGCTAACTTCAAGGGGTAATGACAACATCGTTTACACTAGAATTATGATTTTTTAAAATTATAACTAGTTATTAATAATACTTATAAAAGCTGATACACCGTTTGAAACTATGTCACCTCAGTGAAATGGGTTGACATCATAGTTTTGGTTTTTGAGTTATCATGTAATAAAGAAGAAGAACAAGAAATTCAAACTTTTTCCTATGATATTTACAGACATTCCCAGAACTTGTGACTCAGTCGTTACATAGATATTATTATAAAAGGAAACACTGTATAGTATTGTAAAGTTCTGATAACCTGTTGAGGAGATATTTAAAATACCATTTAGATGAACAATCCGAGCCATTCCGACATAGGTAGTGCTGCCACCTGCCTGATTACCCTCGAACAAGTTTGCATCTCAAGATAAAGAAAATTTGTCTAATTAGCCCCCCTGTCAATTCTGGTAAAATGGACAGAAATTTTGATACAATATTGGTAGATCGTAAAAAGATTTTAAAATGGTCAAACAAATAATGATATTTTTGTATAAGAGAGGTATCTTCAAGTCTCACAAACAATCGTTTGGTTGACACGTGCAAGTAATGAAACTTGTATTCATATACATTTCGTGTTGTTTCATAATCGTGGATCAAAGCATTATCTTAGATCACACCGTATTGTGTATATACTTAGTACTTTAAACCACGATAGTGGTTCATAATAGGGATTGCAAAGAATTGCACAAAAACACCTTAAACGGTAAAGTACTATTGACTACTAAGGCTGTTCACATTCAAAGATGCACAATAAGCACGCATGTTAGAACTGCACCGAAAAGAAAAATCTGCTCAAAACGGTCCGTTTGTAATTCTTCTTCTATTTTATGCTCTTGCAAGTCTACAACAAAAACGGCTTTTTATATTGCACCCAAACCTTTTGTAGAACACTAAATGAGGTACTGCGAAGGTCGTAGGGATATTGAAAAGTCGATTTCATTTTTCTATATTTTACATAGGCTAAAAATCACCATAACTCTAGTGTTGAAGTTAGCTTTCTTACAAATATCTGGTGTTCCTTTAAAAAGCTTAAGTACAGGGTGAAATAGGAATTACCAACTAATAACAGAAGAACATTAGATTATTGTAACATGTAGATACTCAGTGCTTTGTACACTATACAATTAGTGTCTTTAGGGAGCCAACCCCTTTATTAAGTAGGATGTGAAGGAGTAAAAAAAAATCAATAAACATAATACTTAAATTTTATTACACACATTCATAGAATAATTACTTGAAAAGACACGTTGTTTTATTTGAAAAGGCTGTTTTTCTACTGGTGAAATTTTATACGCGCTTAGTGGGGTCTAGTATATATTTGCCCATTGCTATGCATTATATATAGAGTATTTAGTGACACAAAAACTATAAATGCTCACTGAAACAAATCCCCATGACAATCTCCAGCTGCAGCTTAACATTTTACACCCCGAACTAATGCGATCAAATAGTCAATAGCTACAGTAAATCATCATGAACCGTATAAGCTAGCGACTAGCTATGTTTATTATCATTACAATGTATAATGTTAGCTACCATATCAAGTAACCCTTTGCAATAGTTGAGCATAAAAAAAACCACAAATAGGGATAATAAAAAAGTAAGAGAACAGGGCTGGAGATACTGTATACATTATTTACTCAAACTCCGAATCCCTGTTTTGACTCCACTAAATGTAATTCTAGGTAATAGCATGGAGCCAAAACAGGGGTTTGTAGTTTGAGTAAATAATGTCTACAGTATCTCCAGCCTTGTTTCTTTATTTTCTTTTACGATCCGTATTTGCAGGTTTATTTGTTCCGCTTATATCTAATGTTTGTACTTTTTTAAACGTTTTGTTTTCGTTATGTTCTAAAGGTTATAGAAACGTTCAAATCAGCAGTAATTCGTCAATTCCTACATTTTCACAACAGCGATTTATACATGTTATTTCATTAAATAGCTTTAGCGTTGTTTTAAAGCATAATAAAATATCCTGTGCGAATATAAAAAAAAACTTTGGTAATTAAGGATGAATACAAACATCCAGGCCCGGCATGGCCAGGTGGGATAAGGCGCTCGACTCACAATCTGAGGGTCGCGGGTTCGACTCCGCATCCCACCAAACATGCTCGCCCTTTCAGCCGTGGGGGCGTAATAATGTGACGGTCAATCCCACTATTTCGTTGGTAAAAGAGTAGCC